ATGAAAGAAAGAAAGCTTGGTTAAATTAGCTCCTTTAAAAAAAAGGTATATTTGGATTCAGGAAGTATCCACAAAGGAAGGGATCCTTCTTAAATTAACCTTGCTGCAACCAGCTGCGGGGGTTTGAGAATAATTTGGAGCCATTTCATTCCTCTTCACCTGGGAACTTCACAATTTTGACCATCATGTTTGGAACCATATGACTTGGGGAACCTCACCTTGGGGATGGTCACAACAGTGGGGTGAGGGGGAAGGAGAAGGACATACCATACATACTGGTAAGGGATTAAATTGGTCTTCAACATTTATGTGAAACCAGGAACCTCAATCATCAACCCATTTTACATTGACTACATTGAGAAAGCAAACATGGTATGGAGCTGCTGTTTCACTCTGAGCCGATCGTACCTGACTGGGGAAGAACTGACAAAATTCTGATGAAGGATCCCTGAACTCAAAACATAAACTCGGTTTCCCTCTCCAAATGCTGCTAGACCTGCTGAGTTTTGCCAGCACATTGTTTTTGTTTCAGATCTCCAGCATCCACAGTTCTTTGCTTTAGTTTGTGGAAGAGCAAGCCAAGCCTCAGAAATGGGAAGCAAAAACAGAAATTTAATGGAAATCAGCAATAGAATAGAAACAGAAATAACTTTTGAGATTTGTGAACGTGACAGGACTCTATTTTAAAATGGGTTACAAAACTATTGCCAGAACTCTTTCAGGTGCTGATTGACTTCCTCCATGTTTCAAGCATTTCCTGTTTTCTCCTTACACATTACTGTTCAACTGTATGTACATGTTTGCATTGCTGATGTCAATAGGTAAGATAAGAGGTGCTATTTCAAGGAACAAGAATTGTATATTTGAATATAGGATGAAGCATTCCACAAACTATTTGACAATATGACTGCAAAGATGGACATAACCATTTTTTGAAGAACACAGTTAAGTAATAGCTTGCATTCAGAAGTCATAGCGCAAACCAGTTTACAGGAAAGAAAATAGGCCTGAAGATGAAAATGTCTGGAGAGAAATGGAACAAAAGGCACCATCAAATGGGCACTTTTAAAACACTTTTGAAGGACTAAGAGACTGTACAGCTAACGGCTGTAGAGTGTTACAGACTATAGATTGAAAAGAATGCTTTCAAAATGCATCAAATCATTCCGACAGAGACACTGATGTCTCATTTCCAATAACACGCGAGACTTTATATTCTGAATAAGTTTTATTTTTCTTTTAGGAACAATCACAAATAGAAAGAATTGCAGATTTGAAGCAGAACTAGTCTGAATGATCCCGTCATTCACTGGAAGCAACGTTACAGCTGAGACCCAAGGTTTGAGAAATTTCATACATACTTAAAAGAGAAGTGAAACAGCTTGCTCTTTTATTTCATTTGTCTACCGACAGTCATGATACAGGATTTCAGTCTGTGTGTGTTGTGTGTGTGTGTATTTGTTTTTTAAGAAACACAAGATTCGAAGAAGAAAGTTAATACAGAGAAATAAAACTACAGAGATAATGCACTGTAAAAACATTTCGTTTTCCCAGAAAATGTTAAACAGGATTTAAAAAACACCCAGCAAGATTTCAAAAACTTGAGACAGCATCTTAGCTGAGCATGAGAACAAGAGTCGCTCTTAAATTTATTCTTAATAAAAGAGTCTTAACCGTATCAGACAGAAAGTCAAAGATCTGTTTATCTTTCAGAAATAGTTAAAAGATGGCACACGAAAGTAAGAGCATCCCAGTGTTCAGAACAAAGGAACTAAGTACTTTACATGGACAATTTTTCATATTACAGCTCAACCTAAAATAACTTAAAATTGCTTCTTCATACAGGTAAATGTGCTTTTATAAATTAGTCAGTGAAAAAGTAGCACAATATATTAATAGTTTAATATTTAAAAATGCATCCGTTTGACTGCTGTACAGTGTACAATTTAAGCAAGAATGAGGAAATTGCAAGTTGGGAATGGAAGGGGTAGATAACATTTTCCATGCGACACAGAGATTCTGAGAACACTCACTTAAATAGCTTTTGAAAATTTAAAGATAAAACTCAGCAAAAATACTGAATACAGAAAACTAAAGCAGCAATTAACTCAGGGCTGCCTGAAAATTCAGCATTCGAAAGTTTGCTCCTGGATTCTGTTATCTTCCCAGGTTGATGTGTTACCAATTGCAGACAGAAATGGTAAAATTATCATGTCGTTTCTGCTAAAAAATGACAAAAACTGTTTAATTTCACAAACTCTGATCCCCGCTCCTTTGGAATGCTCTTATGTTCATTAGTCACAATTGAAAAAGCGTAAAGATTTCAAAGTTTGATACCAAGCTGCTTTAAATTATTTGATATGATTCTCTTCATACCTTGTATTTTCATACCCCTAGAACAGTATTTTACAATTACACTTTTTTACTTCACATCTAGCGGGTAGCACGATCAACTCAGTTTTCTGTGAAACATCATGAAAACCCAGGAAATTAGCTCAGTACATTTCAGCATTTTGTGCTCATACACAATTCATTGTGAACTGTTCAGAGTCTGGAAAGCCATTGCTACAAGTATTCTTTGTGCAGATATTTCATTTTAGAAAAGACAATACTATAATTAGCAGAACTACTGCAAAGTCTATTCAGCTCCCATCCGTTATTATTTTCAAAGCACCAAACACAAGTGACTGGTACAGGCACCATTAAAAGTCCACCCCCTCCTCACTGTCACTTAAAAAGTCCCTTCCAGTCAGTGTGGGGATATGTGTGAGAGAATAAAATGGTGTGTTGGCAGTTTATCCTACATCTCACCTAATTTTTACCTAAAACGGAAACTGTTTTGATGCAAAACAGCTGCCAATGCTTTCAGCATCCTTTGATGCATTTGATAAGTTAGAGAGCTAAATTTACCATGAGCTCTATTTTATGGAACATTTTTCATGTGGTGTCGTGTCAACTTTTGTTGCATTATCATGTCAATGGTACTTTACAAATGTAAATTCATATTTCAGGTAGACTAATATAAATATGGTGAGAGGCTGGATGGCTCAGTCAGCTCGTACATGGTTTAGAACAGTGCTCACACAGCAAGTCTAATTCCTGTCTCCAGCTGGAGCAGGCTTACCTCCTTGCTCTACCTGAGGGTGTGAGATAATGGAAAAGTTATACCAAACATTGCCAAGGAAAGTACGCATGATATAGTGTCAGCAGACAATAAACCATGAACCTGCCTTCAATTACAGCATTCATACAATGTAACCAGAAATAGTAGGAACTGCAGTTGCTGGAGAATCTGAGATAACAAGATGTAGAGCTCGATGAACACAGC